CGCGGACCCGGCGGCCGAGGGAGCGCCGGTGCCTTTGCTCAGAGGGACCTGTTGAGTCAACAGCTGCGGGGTGGGCAAGAACTGGGTGGCCACGGCGTGCAAGTGGTTGATCAGCTGGACACACCGCGGCTCCCTGGGTGTCCAGCTCTCAAACCGGGAGAGGTATTGCAAGACTTCTTTGGCGCATGTTTGAAATCCCGAGTGGAACGCATCCAAGTCGGACTGAATGGGCGATTTCAGAGATCGCTCCCCTAGGATGAGGAAGGGATAGGGGGGTGGGGACGGAGGAGTGGAGGCAAGAAGAAACATACCCACGTTAAAACATCTGCTTATCACGTGGGCCCTGCATCGACTAAAGTGATCTCGGTTTTTCCCCAGTATTCAAGTGATATAATCCACCGGTTGCCGAGAGAAGGGGGGTGGCGGAGGTGCGGAGCTGGGAGAGGGCGCTCTCCTCCCAGCTGAAAACCAAAGTGGAGCGGGTGCAACCGCCACTTTAAAACCTGATTTCTCCGAGTTCTGCTGAAAGCCTCTAGGATGCTTCGGGAAATGGGCTCGTTCCAATGAAGGGAAAGTATAAAGCAATTTAACAAATGAGAGGGAACCCATGAGCCCACCGAAAGAGGTGGGGTGCAGGTGAAGGAGTCCTGACACTGCTCCCCTGTGGGCTGCCCCGCTTCATCAGGGTAGGCTGGCCTCCCTGAACTGACTTACCATTCTGTAAAGCAATTATCTTCTGATGCTGTTGCTCGGTTAAGGCGGTTAAAGCTTTTAGGTGTTTCAGAGTTAATTCCAAGACTACGGCTTTCTCCAGATGCCCCAGAGTCTGCAGTAGTGCAAAAAAGAAAGGGGCACTTGGTTACTTAAAAAACACACATTTGGCTTAATTGGCTGTCCATTCAGCACAGCAATTTAAGGAAACACTTTGAAAGAAGTACTATTCTTATACTTCTTGAGCTTTCCACAAGACAGGTTATAAATGATTTCTTGCCTTCAGCTGGGAGCACCGACTCAGTTTGCGGGAAACTCTGTACGGTATAGCACAAGTTGTAAATCAGGAACTTATATTTACATTTATTCTTATATTTTCTGGGAGTCGCACCAGACAATTAAAACGCCTTTGGAGAGCAGCAAAGAATGAAAACGTGCATCTTACTGTCAATTTCAGATGTTCAGGCAGTAAATCTTTCAGCTGAGCAATGCATTCATTAATTCGGTCTCTTCTTTTCTTTTCTATTAATCTGTGCGGTAATTTGTAGGTATCCTTAATATATGAGAGTTATGGAAAAGAGAAAACAGTAAGCGAAACATTCATTTATTGGATATTACCCTCCTCTGTCCCTCCCCGCCCCCCACCACCATAAAACATACTATGTGATAAACTACACCCAAGAAACCTCGTTCCTCTGGACTGTTCTGCAATGCAATTTAAATTCAGGTATGATGTTTAATATCCCCTTGAGAGTACCCAGCAAGCCACTTAAAATTCACAGTTGGGGAAGCTCAGGGGCTGGAATATATTTGCAGGCAGAGCTTGGCTGTGAAATCAATGGCCCTAATTAACTACCCATGCAGGTTATGAGGAATATCGGGAACTTACACTTACCTTGGTATCGTCTCGTTTCATGCTCCTTTTGGGTTTACACATATACAAAGAGGAATAATCCAGTCTGCAAAACAGAAATCAGCATCAGGCACCCATTCGGGGAGGGGCTCTGCCCTCGCCAGCTCCATACCACTTTCTGGAGAAGAGAAAAATCAAACCAAAGCCTAGACAGATAGTCGCAAGGGTGCGTGCACCTTACCCTATAAAATCTCTATGTTCCAGTAACTGTCTCTCTTGCAAATGAGGAATTCCTTCGTCCATGTTCAACTGCTGTTCGTTTCCTCTGTTTCGATTTTTGGGGCTCTGTACAATAATCTGTGGGACGGTAGGCTTGGGAGATCTTGGGGGGATCTGTGCGTCTCCAGTCTCTCTCTCTCGCTCTCCCTCTTCAGTGCAGTGTTGAAAGTGTGAAGCAGTTGGTCCCCCCTCCACCGCGCTCGCACACACACACGCACACACACGCACACTCGCGCCGGCCCCACTGCGCTGGTAGTTTGCTCTCACTCCAGGCAGTGTTTGGCCACAGGGCACGCGCGTCGCCGGCCAGACCAGCACCCAGCTCACGTGCGGAACGTACCATCCGCGGTCCAGCCCGGAGGGGGGCGGGGGAGGAGGGGCCGGGCCGGGAGGGGGCGTCGGGAGAAGGCGGCGAGAGAAGGCGAACAGCAGGAGGGGGCGGGGACACCTGATCAGGGCCACCGGAAAGGAAAAACAACTTCGGCCAAGCTATTCATCTTCCCAAAGGCGATGGAGTCGGCAGGGGGAGGGGGAAGTGGGGGTGCGGGGGTGCGGGGCAGCCTGAGCTTCCTTGGCTCGGAAATGCGACTCCCTGGGTTCGTCCGTTATTACGGTGCAGGAATGTGAACGTGGCTTTTTGCTTTTCCACCGACTGTGCTGTTGGTTTGAACCATAAAAAGGAAAGAAAAAGAGAATTCGCGGTGGGTAAACTTGAGTCCCAAAGGAAATTTTGGAGACTTGTTTGCTCACTGATCAGTGGGGCGGAGAGGTTGCCTCGAGAAGAAGCAACTTGCAATCCGCTCCTTGAAGGATTTAAGACACTTGAAAACGTTGTCACCGGGTCCGAATGTCGCAATCCAAGTGTCTTTCGGTGACACGGCGTTCCTGGGCCACCTAAACTTCCCCGCAGCAGCCGGAATTGCGGTGCCACTAATCACAGCAGCAGATGACGACGTTTGGAGCCGCGTGTGCTCCTGGAGGAACGCGGCGGGGAGCGAGCCGGGGTTGAGTGGGGGCTGGGGAGGGAGAAGGGGGTGGCACGAGAGGGGCTATCACAGGAAAGCTATGCAGCATTTATCACCCGCCCGCTCAACTCCGCCGCGTTCCGAGCCTCCGGTGACGCTACGTGCTTTCCCCATCCCCCCGTCCCCCCGCGCGATAAGAGACGCCCGGAGTGTGCAGAGCCCACGTTTACTACCGCTGGCACCTCCAAAGCCTCCCTCCTTAATCCTGTCTCAAACGGGTACCAGCACAGGGCCAGCAACGTGATCCGACCTGCCGCTGCTGCCACATCACTGCTCGGGGAACCCGTGCGCGCGCGCGCTCGCCCTGCAGCCGCGGCGCTCGGCGCTGGGAAGCACAGGCCAGCAAGAGCCGGGTTACCTTTCCCCAGAGCCACCCCGGGAGCCTGACTCACTGCTAGTGAGAGTTACCAGGAGGTGCCCGGGGATGCGCACTGCCCACGCCGCCCTGCGAGTCCAGGGGAAAGCATGTCTTGAGGGACTCCCAGGGGTGGGATGGAGGGAGTATATATATTTCTCTAGATACACATAAAAGCATAGAGATAAAACCAAGGTTTTTCCTGCACCGAGAGGGATATTTACATTCTTCCCCGGGTGATCTCCGAAACACTGATTATTGGCAGTGATAAGTGAACCGAGGGGAGAACGCCGAAGGTACACGCACCAGGGCGCAGCAGGGACTGGGGCGCCAGCTACGTGTCCCCCAGCCCGCCCCGCCGGGCACGGGTTCCGGGGACGGATCTGGGTCGCGGGAAGCGGCGGCTGGGAGGAGGTCACGTGTCTGCGGGAGTCGCGTCTCCTCCCCGACTCCAGGAGCAGCCCAGGCCGCGGCGGCCGCTCGCGCTGCTGCAGTCTCCGGAGTCCTGGGCGGAGACGCGCACTGCGTCTGGCTTCGTGACTCTGGCGGCGGCGGCGGCCCAGGATCACCCCGGCGTGAGGAGACGCTCGCGGTCCGTTCGGTTCATCTGTTTAGAGGGCCTTTTAAGGTCTCTGGAGTTCCTCAAATAGGGGGACGTATTTTGCACCAAACAGGCAATTTAATCACGATGGTTCTTAATTTAAAAAGTATTTTTTAAATGCCGACTTTATTTTAAACCTCCGTCCGACCTCTGTCCTATTTCCAAAAGGTTAGGTAATTAAGACCCTTTAATGGTGAGGGCACGTTGGAGACCTAAAAGCGACCTATTCTTGCAGTACTGTATCATTTTTACCTCTTTTTAATTGACTAAAAATGGGAATGCCGTTAGGTGAATAATTTAAAAATTAAAACACCAGTTCCCCTTCTAGATTTCCGAATGTTTGGAGTAGAAAGGGGATGCAAACATTTGCTCCAGAGCTAAATTTCACTTGAAAAGGATGACTGGTTAGGGAAAATGAAATAAAGACAAGATCACTGCATTTTGGCCTTGTTGGGCTAAAAACACAAGGCAGACATCTGACCAGGGCAAACCTTAGAAGCTAAGTCTGGGGGAGAGATTAAATGCAAGTTGGAATAGAAGGAACATGATCAGGAGCCTTGAGGCTCAAGGGTGAGTTAAGTAAGCTTGCAGCGCCCCATAATTTAAAGGGACAAAATGCTGCAAATGACAAATGAAACTTTTATCTGTTATCTCTTTGAATCTCCTCTTTCCCCCATCCTTTCTGCCGCAAGCTTCCCTACTTCCATACCCTTTTCCCACGATACCGACTCGAACTGCAAATGCCGTCTTTTCCCATTTTTGATCTCCTTTGTTGTTCTCCGCCCCCTTTTCCTCTTCTTTTCTGTCTTTCCTTTACGTACTCACCTTTTACTCATGTTTCCCATTTTCGTTTCTTCTTTATCTTCCTTTCCCTTATGTTCTCCGTCTACCTTTTCCCGGTTAAATGCCAGCTTTTGCCCTTTCTCTGTAGTTTTGTTAATCTCCTGTTTGCTTTTTGCCCTATTTTTCTTTGATCTTTCACCCTGGCGACTCTTCTTGCTTACCCCCACTTCCCTTAAACTTCAATCCCACTCCTGTTCTTTCTCAAACTCTTGGCTTCTGGAATATTGGGCATAGTTTGATGCCTCTGAATATCCCTTTGCTGCAAGAAGGGTGTAACAATAGCTAACAACTATATAGTCTTTAGTATTAGATTACCAGACTGCATTCAAAGAGCTTTTATGTATTAACTCATTAATCATTTCCACAACCCTCTAAGGTAGGTACTATTATTGTTTCCATTCTACAGATGAGAAAATGCTTACAAAGTAGATTACAAAATGTTTCCAAGGTCCCAGAGCCAGGATTTAGGCCCAGACAATGGGTTCCAGAGTCTGGACCCTGAACTCTTACCCCTCAATGTGAATAGTGAGGGGTAAGGTGTAAGTGTTAACTAGCTGCTTCAGGGATGTTTTTCTATTTACCAGTATAAATGTGCACATTTGTGTGTGCCTGTGTGTGAATGAACTTGTGTGGGGAGTTTTGCAAGAGAGATGGAAAAGGGAGAGATGTTAGCATTGGAGCTGATGACAGAGATAAGAAAAACTATGACAAAAAGAAGGGAGGCAGTCTTTTGCCATGTCAGTGAGTCATTCAGTTGGCATCCGGGTTCAAATTTATTGATTTAAATCCAAATATCCTAATTAATTGTTATAATTTTGTACAGATGGACAGATGGAAGTACAGTTTAGAAAAGGCTGATGGTGACCAGCTATCCACCAGCTCTGCTGAGCAAACTGAGCCAAGCTCTAATGTGAAGACTTCAGGTTAGCAACAGGAAAAGTTCACCTGTGGTGAGGTTAGAAAGGGAAAAAAGTACCCTAACAAAGGAACAGAAATTGGAATGCCGTCTTTGGATATGTTTTAAAATAGATTGAGTCTTATCTTTTTAGGAAAGCTTAATGCTATCCTGCTGAAAGCCAAGAAGATACAAGATGAGCTCAAAGCCCCATCTGAGCTTATAATTAAAGAATTTTGTGATGCTTTGCTTTCAATTAAAGGTATCCATCTTTCTCCTTTTAATAGGCGAGGGGTAGCCGCTTCCATTGCTTTTCTTTAGTTAAGTAAGGAAATCATTACCTATAGAGACGCTAATGAAAGGAAATACTAAGGCCAATTCTCCCCCCTGCCTAAGTATCCCAAGTCCTGCACTCATTATATTCACCCTGTGACTTTAGAAGGTCTTATCCTGTTTGCAAAGTCTTGGATTTCCAACAGAAACAAAACTCACCTGAAAGGATTAAAGTTTCCATGGGGGAATAGAGGGTTTTCTGCCTCTTGAGGGTTCTGCAAGCGCTACTGCCCTTTTGGATAAATAATTCCAGGGTGTTTTAGGAACCGAAGTCTGATCCAAACTAACTGTACATCTCTGATGGCCTTAAAGGCCTAAGATCTGCTTAGGGGCGTAGAGTCTCCTGCCTGTGATACTGTGAAAATGGCCCTTCTGAAGGGCAGAAGCCATTCTTGATCACCTCTGTTTTAGACAGTGGACAAGAATCTATAGACATTCTACATCAAAGTTAAGCAGAGTCCACACAAATCCAAAAAAGTTTTGGGTTGATGCTAAAATCAAGGCCTGGAGGGGACGGCAGGGTGGGATCTGGACTTACAAAAGCTTCCCTAGGAATTTCTGCTCTTGGCATGCACACCTGCTCTCAAAGGAGAAGAGTTAATGTTGTGGGGCATCACAGAGAGAAGGGTGCCTCAGAGAAGGATTTAAGGAGGGACAGCAATTCCTCTGCTACTTACCAGAAGCCAGTATGACTTTAAAATATTGATGATGTTATTTGCTGAAAGTACCAGATTTTAAATCCCAGAATAGAAGATTGGGTTTTCCAGTTGCATACTCAGCAAATGAGCAGAAACAGCACACGTGTCCCCTTTTAATTTGTAAAGGAACGTAAGTCTTTCTGTAGACTATCAATTAATGTGTCTGTGGCCATAAACATATCTATGAATCATGTTTTATATTTATGTAACACTGCTCAAGAAGTTTATGCACTTATTAGTCTTTGCATAGCTTCAAGGAGCAGATAATATTGAGTATTAGAAATAAATTTTATTCCTGCTGAAATCATTTGTATTTTCATATTTATGTGGCTATCAAAACCATTTATGCAGGCTGTTCTGAATTTCATGTGTGCTCAACATTCCTGGAGTTCTTAACATACAAAAGACAACTAGGAGAGAGCCAAGCCCAAAGACCACAATAGGATTCCCTGGCCCTTCTGCCCCTAAGTGTCTGCCTGGTCCCTCATGGTGCCCATGTGCTTCTCACACTGATTGAGGTAGATCCATAATGAAACCGGAAAAGTAGCATGAGGAGAAGATGACAACCCCGTAAGGATTTTCACAAAGTGTTCTCCACCATTTCTCTGGATTCTCCTGGACTAGTTGGATGGTGGAAGTCTGCTGAAGAGGGGCATGTTTCCCTTGTTACTGCTGATGAAAATTCTTGGAAAAATCTTCCAAGAGAAACATGCTTATACAATATGAGTCACATTCAAATAGAAATAAGATACACTAAACGTCCACTTCTCTCACCCCCCCCCCCCCCTATGGGCTCCATAGGGTCCTTACATCAATTGTCAGATGGTGTCCACCTGGTGCAGAGAGCTGTCGGTAGTAGATACTTCTTCCGACTTTAAAGGTACTCCTACTTTAAAAAAGCAACAACAACAGAAAACTAGCTTAGGAGGGTCAAATCTAGACTTACAATCAAAACTATTGGTATAAAACTTTTTATTTCACAGTTAAAGCAATAAATCGTATATAACAATTACCCAAAAAGTGCTATGGTTCTGGTGTTAACTTATAATCACCATTAGTAAGGAAACTGATTGAAATCTAGGATGTGTATATTAGTTAAGATCTGCATTTTAGCCAAAATAACAGCAACTTAAATTAGGAAGTTATTTTTTGGTCACATAAAAGGAAGGTAAGCAGTCCAGGAGTAATGTGAAGTGGTAAAAGTGCCCTCAGTGTCCCAGACTTCTGCTTTTCCACTTTCCACCAGCGTCCATCTGCAAGATCACCCCATGGTCTAGAAGATGGCTGCCGGAACTCCTGCAGGGAAGGATGAAAGGGTGCCTGCCAGCTAAGCAAGTTCCCTTTAAGGAGCTTTTTTTTTTCTTTTTTTTCAAGCTCCACCCATCTCATTGTCCAATCCCATTGCAAGGGGTTAGAAATGTAGTTTTCTAGCTGAGACTACACAGCAATATAGGGGTTCTTTTAGTAAAGGGGAAGTGTAGACTAGATACTGGGTTGGCACTAGCCACCTCGGCCGTGATGTGACTAAAAGGAAATGATTTGTCCATGTCCTCTTCTTTTTTCATCAGTGAGTCTGTTCCCCTCTATTATGCCATATGAGTTGGCAGCATCATTGTATTGTATTAGGGTATTTAATTCCAATTTCAGAAAAATGTCAATCTTCCTATCTGCAATTGCACAAACTTAACTAACTCCTTAAGCACATGGTCCTTAACATCTGTATTTTTAAGTTCTAATAATTGTAGACATCTGCTTAGGGAGGAAATTTAATAGAGTTTGCTCTTCTTCCTGTAGAATGCAAATTTCAGCTGCATGTTTTCTTGGAAATGATTGTCTGTCTTTTTATGTAGCAGACCTGTCCTCTGGTTGTCCTGTCCCTGCAGCTGTGTGTTCTGCCTCTAGCAGTTGGCTTGAAGAGAGCAACTTCCAGGAGAAAGGCACTCTCTGATAATTCCTTGAATACAGCTAGGATTTTGCACTTCATTCACTTCTAGCCACATTTATACAATTGCTTTAGGGTCAGAAGATTGTGGGAGAGCTGTGCTATCCAGTTGGGTTCTGGAATAGATGAGGGAGGAAAGAAGAGGTAAGTAAGTGCAGTGCAATGGGAGAAGAGGGACTAATTTCTAAGGCTGGGATTGGGAGGTGAATGCTGGAAGAGAATGTATCTTTGGAGCATTTTACTATGGACAGGTATTAAGGCAGGTGTCTTATAAACAATGTCCAGTTCTCTCAATTCTTTAAACTAGGCACCATCAACTCTACAGATGAACAAACTCAGGCTCAGAGACCTTAGGTAACTTGTCTGTTGTCATGTAGTAATGGCAAAGCCAGGCAATAGGGACCTATATGTGCTCCTGGGTGTTGTCACTGGCAAGAGTCCTGAGTTTTAACAGTCACCTTCTCCCCTCAGCCCCTGAGAGGATCTCCTATCCAAGCATTTCACCTCCCTTGGTGAAGCCTCTACTTCAGGTCATGGGAGCCCCTGCCGGAGGGTTGGTGTTTAGAGGAGTTGTTGAGAGATGAGGAAGATGGTGGGAGGGGAAATTCTTAACCCCATTCTAGTTGACTTCGAATTTCTGATGTTTGAATGGGAATTCTGCACGTATTTCCCTACAGACAGACACAAGGGTAAGGGTGTGTGGTTAGCTCACTGAATAAAGCTGCCCCGTGTCTAGCATCTTGGGATCTCCTATCCAATCCTCATCCATTGAATGAGTATTTACTGTGTTTATATGAGCTGTGCACTGTGATGGGTTTTAGGGATTCAATAGTGAACGCTGTCTTCAATGAGTTTACAATTTAATGGATTAAATTTCTCTTAAGAGAAAATATCACTAAGAAAGTGAAATAATTATCCTAAAGCTATTTTATGTTCCAAAAAAGCCTCCTTTTTGGTACATTTGAGATACACTTAAACAGCTCTACTTCTTTGGTATTGCACTTTAGAAATCGTTCCAGAATATGTAGTCAATGGCCTTGGTCTGTGGGTAAGGCTTGTCCTGTAAAGACCACTGGCAGAGAAAATGCTTTCTTCCCTGCTTTCCTGAGCCATCTAGATCTTCATTATATTCACCTCCCCAATTTGCCCTAGTTCCCTGATGGTGAGGATGACTGTTCAACATCCACACCTTCCAAGCATATATAATTTCACTGTATGTGCTCCTGTTCTGCTCTCCACCTTCCCCTGGGATTCTGCCACCTCCCTTGACAAGTATGATCTTCTCATGGCTTAGTGTTTAAACTTTCTCTCTTTGGTGTTTGAAGCTAATTTTGCTCTGGATTGTAATTTGGTCTACTTCTTGGTGTTCCACATCCTCTGTAGTCTCTGTTAGGAAGCTCCTTCTCATCCCCAGCCCCTCAGCCCTCGCTCTGACCACAGTTGCTTGGTCATTGCCCTAGCAGGTTTCTTTTAGGGGGAGATTTGGATAGGGTTAGACTTAGCTAATTTCCTTTGCTCCAGAGAAGGCACGAATGGTTTCATACAAGAAGATAACTCATTACAATGACCCATAACCTCTGACACATAGATTTTCACATCCTGCAAAGGACAACTTACTCCTCATCATATATTTGACTCCCTCAGTTCTTTGACCTCAGCAGTTCAACCTGGAAAGGGACCTGACAGGGCTGGCGAATTTGGCCAACTTAATGTCTACATCACTTTCAGGTACAGGGACTGGATGGCAAATTTAGCAAGACTGACTGACCTTTAAACGAAGAATGCGGTGATGATTCTTAACCCCTTCATTCCCTCACCTCCCCCATCCAATTAATAACAATATCTGAAGATTCCACCTCTTAAATATCTATAAATCCATCCCCCTTTCATCCTAACTGCCCACACTCCAGACCAGGCCCCCACAATCTCTCACCCCAAATGTTGCAAGAGCTTCTTCCCTGCTTTTAACAGTTGGGGTCTAGTAAGGAAGATAAAAACCACCCTAGATATTTCAAGTAGGAGGAATTTGACAGAGGAGATTAAAGGCATAATCATAAACTTTGGAAAGGCTAGGATTATCAGTTTTGGGAAAAACCGTTATTGACTTCCAGGAAATCTTGACAATCAATTGGTTCAGGGAAACGTAAATCCCATTGAGCTCAGCTGCTTGCCATGTGGAAGAGGCTGACGTGCAGGAGCTTGTCCAGAAGCTCCTGTAAACCTCACATCTGCACACAGCTGCCAGGGGAGAAATACGGTGTGTCTCCATCACTTTCCACATCTTGCACAGGGGCCTCTCAAAGGCAGAATCTAAGTTAGAAAGAGGTGGGGAAGGGTTTCTGGAAAAATGTGATTCCAGGTTTCTATTATGTAATGAGGACAGAGTGGAGAAGGCAGTGCAGCTGGTGCTGAGTTGGCATATCTCACACCTGTATCCACTGTATATGCCTTCTCTCTTCCTCCACCACACTGAATTCAATCACTAAGTCATAGCCAGAGCAATTTTTCTGTTCATGTCATTCTCTTGATCAAAACCCTTTA